ATGCGACGCTGGCAGGTCAGTTCACCTCTTTGACCTCGGTCTCCCCTTCTGGAAAGCAGAAGCGTTGATCTAGGTGACCCCGGGCAGTCTGTGATGCAGGGCTTAATAAAAATGGGAGATAGAAGTATTCATTGGTCCCCGATTCGGCAGACATTTCTCTTAGGATTCCTGAGTGCCAGGCACTGTGCTAGTTCTGGAGATACCTCATGAACAGCACAGGGAAGTTCCTGCCCTCATGGAACCCACACTCCAGGGAGGGAGACACACAAGGAACAAGACACAAGTCAAAGTCACGTTGTATCAGGTCGTGATGCGTCTGTGGGGCTGGGGGGTTGCAGTTTTACATGGGGTCTGGCTCAAGAAGGGGCTTGATGAAAAGGTAGTGTTTGAACACAGACGTGAGGGGGGTGAGTGGGGGAGCCATGCCAACACCCAGACAGAGGGATACGGCAAGTGCAAAGGCCCTGAGGGGGGGGGTTTCCTGGTATGTTTGAGGGGCAGGAGAGGAGGTCAGACGTTACGGGGGCAGGTGGGATGGGGCCTGCTCTGGGATCGCACAGATGATTACACAGACGTCGGCTTCTACTCTGAGTGCCAGCGGGGGCCTGTGCAGCGGGTTGAGCAGAGGTGCCCACTTAAGGTTCTAGCAGGCTCACTCTAGGGCTGTGTTGGGACTAGGCCGCAGAAGTGGGGGTAGGGGGGGCCAGGGAGGCCAGTCAGCCGCTGTCACTGAGGTGAGGCGGCTTGGCCTGAGGTGGTAAGAGGCGAGCAGCAGCTGGGAGGATGCCCTGACTGGTTGGATGTGGGGCCGAGAAAGGGCGAAGTTAGGGAGGAAGGCCAGGTTTTGGCCTGAGCAGCAAGAAGGATAGACATGAAGATGCACAGACATGTGGACGGGCAGGTTTTGGGGGAGCTCAGGAGGTTCGCCTGGGACATGTTTTGTGAGTTGGAGAAGCTGGATCGATAACCTACCTGGAGCCCTCAAGCACGGCAGCGTGCTTGGAGTCTCCATTCAGCATGGAGTTTGGATCCCCGGGGGTGGAGGCGTGCATGTGGGGTCCCCAGTGTCCCGTCTGGACTCTAGATTCCAGATGGCATTGGAAGCATGAGACTGGCTGAGAGGGCCTGGGGAGTCAGTGCTCATCCACCAGCTGGGTGACTACTGCATGCCTAGTCTGTGTCCTGACCCTGACATTCGAGGGGGGGCGGGGGGGGTCAGGGAAGATGTAAACCTCATTCTAATCTGGTGCTTGCCCCCAGGCTTGTTTTCCAGACTGATCATTCCTTGGGGAGTAGAGGAGGCCGAGAAGACGCTGGAGGCTGGAGCACTCAGAGCAGGCTTCAGGAGAGCAGGGGCTTGGCCTGGGCCTGGAGAGATGAGTGGAACAGGGCCAGGCCTGGTGGAGGGGAAGGGCTTTCCAGGCAGGAGGAAGGGAGGGGGTGGGTGGGGGCATGGTGGGGTCAAGGTATAGAGGCAAACATGAGGCAGGGTGTGGTTGAGCTTGACGATGGCGAAAGGGCCCAGGGTGGTCAGACAGCTGGGCGTTTGGAATTTGTGTCCCAGCTGGGAACTCTGACATTGGGCAGTTACTTGGCCTTACCCAGCCTCATCTGCAAAATGGGTGTCCCTCTAGGAGACATTTTAGGATCTAACACTCCGCTCTGGATGTGACATGCTCAGCCTGGCATGTGGTGTGTGGTAGACCCTGGACATACCTGGGGAGGGGCATCAGCCCTGCCTTGGTGGGTCTCTTCCACGCGGCCCAGCAAAGGGAGGAGCTTCAAGAGGGCTACTGCTGGCAACACCGGGCCCACGTGGGTGCTGGCTGACCACTGGCCTGAGAGAGCTGAAGTGCCCAGCGCCCTGGCCACCTTTCTTAGGCCTCTTCTATTTTAGGGCTCAGTCCCAATGGATGAGGAAGCCTTGTCCAGCTTCACCACAGCTAATGACAGCCTGGCCTCCCAGGCCATTTAAAAACAGCTCCACTATTTTTATCAACAGGAGGAGGCTGGCCTATCCTCCTCCCCAGACAGTGCCCACCCACATAGGCTGATTTTAAGGAAACCAGGGCCTTGATAGGAAGATGGGTCATTGTCTCAAATCACAGACTGTGATCGCGCAAGATGGGCCCATGGAACCTTCTGGGGGGGGTGTCAGCTGTCACCTTTACTTGCGGTCTGAATTTAGGGATAATTCTACCCTACGTTGCCAGTAGGGCTCGGAAGGAATCACCCAACCTCACCACCCTGAATATTGCTCAGACGCAGTCCTCTCTGGTGTCTCTGGGAGCAGCAGGCCCCTGTCCCCGTGGGAGCGGGGGCTTGGAGAAGACAGGGCTGAGGTGACTGTGCCCGAGGGCCAGCCCCAGAACCGTGGGCTTTTCTCGCCCAAAGGATGTTTCCTGAGCACTCTCTAATTGAAAGTAGTTTAAAATGGTTCTTGTCTGGTGGAACTGTGGGTAATTTTCTCTCCTTCAAGAAGCTCCGGGATGGAGACGGGGAAGGCAGTGGGAGGGATGGGGTGGGGAGTGCCCCGTGCCGGGCAGCACGGAATGATCCTCCTTTGGGAGAGCGGGCTGGTGGTGGTGTATTGGCCATACTTTGTCTCTAGGTAAAACCGTGTTTGTTTTTTTGTGTGTGTGTGTCTACTGCCTAATTTCTAAACAGAATTGCATTTTTTTTTTTTTTTTGAGCACCTGGTTGGTTGATCCTTAAAACAAGAGGCACCCTGCCCTCCCCTGCTCCAGTCAGCTCCTGCAGCAGCCCTGGGGCCATTTCCACCCTCACCTCCGTCAGAAGCCCTCGGTGGCCCCTTTGTCTGTAGGATCAGGGCCTGGCTGGCCTTCCACACCCTCTTCTGGGCCCCGGTCGCCCCCCATTGCCTCCCCCTCTGCGCCCTCTTCCGTGTCATCTACCTTGGATACACCTCACCCTCTGGCCCCTTTCCTCCCCTTCTCAGGGCACCTTTCTGCCCCCCAACCCACCTCAGATATCGCTGCCTCTTTGATGCCCTCCGTGGGCCGGCTGCCCCCCACCCTGTCTTGATCCCTTGGTCCGGCTGCTCTGCCGTTGCCCTCTCCCGCTGCCCCCGCCCACGAGGGTCACTGCAGGCGGGGCCCATGCACACATCACCCCCATGTTACAGCTTTCTCCTCTGTGCTATGACTTGCTGTGGCCGTTCACGGTTTACAGGCGCTTCCTCGTACCTTACGTACCTGAGCAATCCTACCTCCAGAAACCTGGGAGCTGAGAGTTTCGATGGCAGCACCGAGCCCAGAGCCGTGTCTCGCAGGGAGTCAGGGCAGTGGGTATGGGCCCCTCGCCCATCCGGGGCCCCATCCTCTCTCCACCTCCCGCCCCTGCCCCATCCCCAGTGCCCCAGAACTCCTTCCTACCGAGCGCTCACTCGAGCCTGGGAAGGCTGTTAGCCGAGGCGGAAGTGAGAGGTGGGGGACCACAGGCCCTGCAGACGGGCCCACTCCAGCTCCTGGTTCTTGGGGCTATGGGTCATGTCGTGTCAGGGGCGCGGGCCCACCCTGGAGCCTTCCAGAGGAGACCCACTGGGCTGAGGTGTGCCGAGCAGGAAGGCTTTCAGCTGCGGCCCAGCTGTGGGGAGGTCACCCTTCCTGGTTCCCGGGGGCCTGGGGCTGGCTGTGCCCTCCGAGGATGTTCCTGGCGCCTGAGGGGACGGCCCCTGGGCTCTGTCTTCTTCCTGGTGCACAGAGAGCTGCTGTGGGTCCAGATGGACGCCTGGAGGGTGTGGGGTGAGGTGTGGCCTTCCCCTGCAGGGCGGGCTGCACGTCCGTGGTGGGTCACAGGAGCAACTCAGGCATGGCGGCAAGGACACCGTGCTACAGGGAAGCTGACTCTGTGTGCCTTGGGGTGCCCACCGATGCCCACGCTGAGAAAGCCTCAAGAAGACCCCATTTAAGTCCCCTTCCTCCTAAGCAATAGCCTCCTGTGAGTCTTCCGTTCAGAGGTCACTCCTGCCCCTACACCTTCAGTGACTCCCCTGAGCTAAAGCCACGGGGCTCCACCCTGGCTGCAGAGTCCCCGGGGAGCTTCTCAGGATCGCGTAGGCCCGTGTCTCTCAGGCTCTGCTCTGATGGGTCTGGGCTGGGGCCCCGGCGTCCGCCTGCCAGGCTGGGAAGCTGGACTGGAGTAGAGCGTGGGCTTCCACAGTTGCCTGCCAGCCCAGTTCCCCTTCTTGTCCCTTCACACCCTCGATCCAGTCAGGCCAGCGCCTTTCGGGTCCCGCCTGCTGGGCACCGTCCACACCTCTGTGCCGCCTCATGGGCTGCTGGCTCTCTCCACCCCAACCCTGCCGGCCCGCACGGCCCAGCCACATCCCACGCTCTCTGGGAAGCCTATCTCCAGTCACGTGGCGTGGCGGTTCCTTCTCCCCCTGGCACGTGGCCTGGTACCGTTCTTAGAAGGTGCTCAGGATGGCTTGTTAAAAGCACCAATGCCCCCCGACCCAGCACACGCACCTCTTTCTCTCCTCAGCCTCCGTATCTTTCGTTGCCCCCAGCCCTGGTGGCCTTTCTAGGATCTATTCCAGCCTTGAGGAGGGTGGGGCCGGGGCCGGACGGCTGGATTCACCCCCTTCTGCCCCTGATCCGGAGCCATTTGAGAAATGGGCAAGGAGGTCCGTTAAGGACGAGTTGGGGTCAGAGGCCAAGATGCGGGTCCCCCTCCCAGGCAGAGACGCGCTCACCTGCCTGGGAGCCACTGGAGGCTGCAGAGCCCAGGCCTCAGGGGCGGAGAGGAGGCCCTGCTGTGTCCACGGTCAGAGCCCCGATGGCTTAGCCTTGCCGTCCACTGCCTTCCTGTGGAACCTGAGCCGGGGCCATGCCGTGGGCCTCGCTGTGCAAAACCCTCCCGTCCCAGCCCTGGTGCTGTGTGTCCGTGTGTGTCTGTGTGTCTGTGTGTGTGCTGTGTCCGTGGCTGGGGGTGGGGGGCGAGGCCCCGCTGGACTCTCACCCTCTGCCGTCCTCCAGGCAAAAGCGGCCAAATCGGAGCCGGAGGCCGGGAGGTTGCTGCTGCGGGGCCTGCAGTACCTGGAGCGCTACGTGTACCTGGTGCTCTTCAACGCTTACCTCCACCTGGAGAAGGCTGACTCCTGGCAGAGGCCCTTCAGCTCGTGGATGCGGCAGGTGAGAGGCCGCCCCACGCGGCCCCCGCGGGCCCGGCAGCAAGCTCCCCCGTGGGCAGAGCTGTCCTTTGGCTCTACGGGAAGCTTCCAGGATCAGGATTGTGTCTCGTTCAGCGTTGGGTGTCCGGCCCGGCGTCTGCACGTGGCCGGCCGTTGGGGGAAGTCGGAGGCATGAATCAGTGAGAAGGGGGGTGGTGTGGGGAACGGCACAGGGCAGTGTGCTAGGCCCGGCCCTGCTCTGGGCATCCCCAGGGCTGAGGTGACCTGCGTGCTTCGTGCCCATTCTTGTGTTCCCTCCTCCCCTGTGCCCTGCGAGGGGCAGGACGGCGTGGTGGCCTGGCCCCTGCCACCTTCCAGCCGTGACCTTGGACAGGTGGGCCCTTCCCTCTAGCTGTCCTCAGCATGAAGGCAGAGATCGTCTTGATGCTGTCCCTGCCACCTGAGAACGTCGTGGTGGGGATGCCATGAGATACGTCTGGTGCCGTGTGCTAGGCCCTGTGTGAGCTGAAGACAGCCTTAAGGGTGGTCCTTTCGAGGATGAGTGTTGAGTCAGGGGACCCAAGGCCACACTGGGGCCATCCTCTTGAGCAGGCCTGGACTTGGCTTCCTCTTTGGACCCCTGGGTGGGATGGAGGTCGCGGGGAACCTAGGACACTTCTGCTTGGGTTCTGCTTGGAGAGTGGACATTGGGAGAACCAGGGGCTGGGCAGGAGCTTGAACCAGCTGAAACTAGGTGGTGCATGTTCTAGACATAGAAAGGCGAGAGCTGTTCCAGTCAGGAGTGTGGGCTCCCGCCGCAGGGGCCCTCTGTCCCTCCCTCCTGCGGATGCGTGGAGGGTGGGGGTGAAGGTTGCCTCTGGTGAGTGGAGCCTGCATCCTCCCCATCTCCTAAGACGGTGGAGAGAGAGGGGGGCTGGTCACTGAATGGGTTGTGTCTCCCAGGCCCTGGGCCACAGGGTTGCATGGAGAACGTCCAAGGAGGCCCCCCCCTGCCCGCCTGAGGGGAGGCCTGTGACAGACCTGCCTGGTCTACGGCCGGAACACACAGCCACAGGGTTGCTTGCTGGCTCCCACACCCACACCGCCTTCTCTAGCCCTCCGTGGGGGCCCCGGCTGTAATGCCCATGAGCCACTGGGCCCGTGACCCCTAGTGTCTCAATGGGAACATCAGGGCTGCGTGGGCACAGGGGTACTTGGCTTCCTGCGCTGCTCTCCTCTTCCTTACTATCTGCTGGGTGCTTTCTGTGTTTCTGGAGCCCTCCAGCATCGTCCCGGGAGGTAGAGACAGTTGTCCCCATGATGAGGAAGCTGAAGCTCGTGGTAGTGAAAATGCAAACTTGCTCAGGTTGCTGAGCTGGTGGAAGGCAGCTCTGGGCCCCAGGCTCAGCTGTGTGATCTAGAGCCTGCCGAGGGGAGGAGGGCGTGGTGATGTGGAGGGGGCGGGTGGACCTGGATGACAGCCTCTTTCCCTGGGACTACAGCCCCCAGCTCTGCTGTCTCCCCCAGGTGGCATCGAAGGCCGGAGTCTATGAGATCCTCAACCAGCTGGGCTTCCCCGAGCTCGAGAGCGGGCAGGACCAGCCCTTCTCCAGGCTGCGCTGCCGGTGGCAGGAGCAGAACCGCTGGCCCGAGCCCTCCGCCGCTGGGGACTTCCTGTAGGGTGGGCTCCCCACCCCACCCCTGCCCCTGCCCGCCCCTGCCCCTGCCCCTACCCGCCTCCTCCTACGGAGCTCCATGCAGGCTGGGGATGCTCCAGGTGCTCTTCACGGGGAGTGGTCCCGAGGAACCCAGGCCCCAGGAGAGACTGGGGCGGGGTTGGGACCCTGTTTTAAAAAGAGCTTTTTATAGGACGAGTAGTGCACGGTTACACTTGTGAACAACAGGCGCGCGTGCCTTGCAGACCGCAGACGGCTTCCAGGGAGCTCGGTCCCCAAGTAGCCGAGCAGAGCTACTCGCTGCGGCCACGCGCACCCTCCTCGGCCACCTCACAGCGGTCCTGACAGCCTGGGGTGTGGAGCCGGTTTCCCGCTTGCTTTCTCTTGCTGCCCTCCCCGCTTGGCCTCTCCCCTGTTGCTGCCTGAGCACTGCCCTGGGGCCCCCGGTCCCTGGGGAACAGACAGGGCTCTGGTGGATTTGTCACCTCAGTGGCAGCTTCACCCAGTTTCCTTGCCTCTCGTGCCCCATCTCCAACCTGGAGACCCCGAGAAGCGCAACGGCGTGGCCTGCTGGGTCTGGTGGAGGCTCTGCCTCTCCTTCCTTCCCCTCCCCCTCCCCTGGGGCTGGCGGGACTGTGGAGGTCCCCAGGGAGCTAGAAGGGAGGAGTCCCTCTCGGGAGGAAGGAGCTTCTAGAAGATGGATGCAGCCCTATGGAAGAGGCCTGCCCCATTTCCCAGGGAGCCAGGGCGGGCAGTGCTGAGGAAGCCCAGGCTCCCTGCAGCTGGTCCTACCGCACTTTCCCCGCCTTGGCCACCCAGGTGGCCCCAGGTCCCCCTCCGCTGCAGCAGGAGCCCCGAGGACCGCTGGGGGGCCCTGAGTGAACAGTGGAGCATGCGAGTGGGCTAAGGGGGGGTTCCAGACCATCCTGGCTGAGGACCCCTGAGCTTCCCTCCAGAGGGAGCAGAGGGGCTGAGGGTTGAGGAGCGGGAGGCCTCAGGAGCAGCTCTGTCCCCACCGTGGGAAGGCTGCTGGAAGGGCCGGCCCTGTGGAGGTGAGTCGTGCAGCTCTTCCTCTGGGGACCACTGTCTGCCGAAGCCCCGGGGGCTGACCGGTGTGGAGGCTGCCCGCCCTGGGCCTGGCTCGTGGCGGCCTGGGAGCCCTCCCTGGTTGGACGCATGCACTTCTGCAGAAAACCAGTGGACACGTCTCTGGTCTCAGGAGGAGAGGCCAGAGTTGTTCACATCTACCTAGTGGAAAATATTTGGCCATCTTGGCTGAAATCTTCTGCAAAACTACTGTATGTCTGTTCACTACCTTTTCGAATTTGTTTTTGTTTTTATTTTTGCATGAATTAAAAAGTTTTCATTTCTTTGCAGACAAAGTCTAGATGAGGGGTCACAGATCAGGCTGAACTGGGAGGGATCCTCTGTGTTCTCACAGTTGACCCTGACTTTCAGCTGTGCTGGGACCACGGGCTGGTCACTTTGCCTCTCTGCCTCAGTTTCCCCATTTGTAAAATGGGAGAATAATACTTGCCTACCTACCTCACAGGGGTGTTGTGAGGACTCATTTGTGACTTTATTTTGTACAGAGCTTTTGAGCATTAAAAATGGCTAAATGTAAAGTGTGCCTGCCTGCTGATGTCTGTAGTATATTCTAGAACTGATGTGAGCTGTGGTCCTGGCTCCTTCAGAGTAGCGGTGGGTGGGCAAGGTGAGTTGAAAGCACCGATTCTTGGAGAAGGTAGGTTTTTCCAGACATCCCTCTCCTTCCTTCACATCCTTCGTGCGTGACCATCTCACTTTGGATGCCTGGGGCTGTCATGCTGAGCCCCTCCTTGAAGAAAGCCACACAATAGGCTAATTCATGCTATAGTGTGAAGGACTGTTGTGTTCAGGGACATGGAGCAAAATGAAATTTCAGGGGTTATGACGGAGGTGGGATTTCAGCCTCTACTTCCTTCTCTCACTCCCGCAGGCTTTGCTTGGCCCCTTCCGGCCCCCAAATACTTAGACACAATGGCATAGAGAGGTTGGCGTGTCAAGAGGCAGTGAGGAGAGTGAGGCAGAGGGCATAGATCCCAGTCTCCTTCCCATGCTCTCCCAGCGTTAGGGGAATGAGACCCTCTGGGTTGTATTTCCGAGGTCAGCTGGAACCCAGAGCCCCGTGGGCTAGGGGTGGTGGTCTTCTCAGCCTGGGAGGGAAGGCCTCCTGGGGTTATTTCTCAGCACGGCAGAGTCCAAGGATGCTCCCTGTGGCTTCTGAATGTGAATGTAGAGGCATGCATAGTGGTGTGTGTGTGTGTGTGCACGCACGCACACGTGGGCAGTTCTTGGCCTGGGGATACGTAGGAGTGGATGATGTGTTCACGGGTGTGTCCCCTCAGGCTCCCTGGGCCTGTCCTGCCTGTGGCAGGGCATCTGGCAGTTACGTGGATGGTGCTGGCTCCCAGGTCAGCAGCCCCTCTGGTGCAGGGCATCTGAAGACTCTGTTCGCTGAGTGAAGACACACGAAACCTTCGAACAGCCCCTGATGCATTGTAAGCGTGAGGTCAGTTTTAGCCAACTTCGCAAAGTCTCTCCGCCAGTCCTTTTGGGGTGCTCAGGAGTAGTCCCTCACTTATCCCACGTCTGGTCATCGCTGTGGGGGCGTCCCTGCGCCTTCCAGAACTTCAGACATCATGGAGGCTCTCCCTCACTCAAGTGCCCAGGCTGGGAGGTGTCATTTGGGTTAGGGCCTGGGGTCTGCGTTTACTTGCAGTCAAGGAGCCCGACGAGGTCACTTGGTTGAGCTGCCACCCTATTTTCCCACTGCCCCCTGGGGGCCTGGCACCTAGGCCGGCGGCCTCGATATGCCTGGCTCCCACTCCCGTACCCTGCGTTCTTTCCCAAAGGCTTCTGGGTCTTCTGGGGGTCCTGCCACGCCAATTTGCCCCTGTGCCCAAACCAGACGAGCCTTTGCTGGGACCCTGCCTGCCTTAGGGGTGTACGTGTGGGTGTTAATGAGCACGTGCGGACTTCTGTATATAAGGGTGACTGTGGAAGGTGGAGAAGCCTGTATGTGGGCTGTGGGCAGTGATTCAACAGTCACACATGGGGCTGTGACAGGGACAGCCCCACCTTCCAGAGCCTGTGGTATTTCTGGGAAGAGAATGAACGAGTCATTCGCACTGGGTATGGCGAGAACTGGGATGCCGCGGGCTGCCGGTAGACAGGAGCAGTGAGGTCGGATACCAGGTCCAGAGTTCAGCCTGGGGCCCTGGCTTCCATTGCTCCCTTCTGATGGAGCTTCTAGAACAAGGAAACACTGAGGGTGTGGACCCTGGGGGCATGGAGCCCAGGGACATGCTGGGCCTGGAGTCAGACCACCTCACCCTTGGACCCCCAGGGCTCAAATGATCTGAGTTCTTCCTGACCCCGCTTACCCTCCCAGCCTTGACCAGACTCCAGGAATTGGTCATATTCTGTGGAAGGGGGACCCCCAGAGGGCCTTTGTCTTCTCTGCTCGTCCCAAGAACCGGTTTAGGATGAGCTGGAAAAATGGAGCGCCCACCCAGATGTTGCCTGACAGATCTTCCCGCCGTGTCCAGTCCGGGGACCCCCAGCTTCTCCTGCAGAATCAGCACTGTTAGATCTTTACCTGGGCTTTTCCTTACAAAAGGCTGCTTATCTTTTATTCCCGTAAGTAAAGCATGATCAGCAGCTCGTTATGAAAATTCAACCAGTGTCCTCACCGCCCCCAGCTCCCACCCCCACTCCCACCCTCTGGCTAGAGAAGGCACCCGTGTTGCTAGAGAAGCCCATGACGGCTGGAACTTTCTCCTGGCGGTGCTGTCCCTGGCTGTGGCATTCGCTGCCCATTGGTCTGGCCCCAGCTGAGATGCACACCCCTCTCTGCTCCGGCGGCAAGAGCGGTTTCAGCATGCGTACCCTGGCCGTTGAGATCGTGGGTGACTCCCCTTGTCTGAGTCTCCAGTTCCTCGACTGTAAAGGAGATTAAAATACTTATTTTGTAGGGAAAGATCAAAGTTAAGGTAGGGGGCCCAGTACCGTGCCTTACTTTTGGCAGGAATTCCCGCAGGAATCGTTTGGTTCTGATGAGTTTGTTATTCTAAGACCCGGAGCAAAGGAGGTCCAGCGGAGGTGTCACCAAAGTAGTGACGGGGACACTGGAGGCTCCCTGAAAGTCAGGGAAGCTTGAGCCAGTAGGCGAGTAATGGCAGGGAGTTGGAGGCCAGGGGGTCCGGAGGCCAGGGGGCCCGGGAGGCAGAGCTCATCCACGTCTCCTTCCCTCCTGGAGGAGCCAGTATGAGGGACGAAGGCACTGCTCCGTGTCTCACGCAGCTGTTCTCTTAGGAAAGCCATGCTGACTTCTCTAACACCCAGAGCAGGTGCAGGGCAGCCGGCGTGAGGGGTGGTAGGTAGCAGGCCAGGGAGAGGCCTTGGGAAGGGCTGACTTGGTGGTGTCCCAGAGGAAGGCAGCGGCGGCGGAGCCCTGGGGAGCCAACTGGAGAGCGATTAAGTTTGTTGCAGTTGGATTAGGGCAGACAACCCGGCTTCCAGAAAATTTCCCTGCCTCTGGGTGGCCCAGGAGAGAGCTGCGTTGGGTCAGGAAGCTTCAGGGGCCACTACAGCTGGGCACTTCCTGCCCATTGCAGTGTCTCTCCCAACTGGCAGCTTACCGTGGGTCTTCCCGCCGCCCCCGTGCTCGGCCCCAGAGCTCCTCAAGCCACACGGCCGTGGGGGCCCCTTCCTTCCCTCTCTCTCTTTCCCCAACTGTCAGCCCGCATCATGGTCTGAAGGCCCTCCCTGCCTTCTGTCTACTCCCCCTTCCTCCTTCATGGGGTTCCCCAAATAAATCTCTCATACATCTAATCCCATCTTGGTGTCCATCACTCTGAGGACCTGGACGACACCCCCTCACTCTTGTCTTGGCCTCTCTGAGCAGCTACTTTGTCCTGCTTCCTGGGGAAGGTCAACCTTCTCTGGCACTGGTCGGGGGAGAATGACCCCCTGTCTCCAGCTTCACCTGTTCTTCATTGCCCTGCCCTCCGTCTCAAGGGAGGCGCCGCTGGTCCTGTGGACTGTGGACTGCAGCCAGGACACTGTTGTTCACGTTTACCTGTGGATAGAGGGGTGGAAAAGACAGGAGGACAGAAGGAGTTGATACCCCCAAATGTGCATATGGTGGTGCGAACCTCTGATTCTTTTCTAAATAAAGGGAATCCCCATTTTCAAGGTCTTTGAACCGCACCTCCAATGTGTGCTCTAGAAACGTCCTCCTTGCAGTCCCGAAGAGCAGTACATGCCTGAGTGTGCTCTTGTCTCTAGCCAGCATTGCCTGTTACATTTTTAAAAAGTTCTTGCCATTTTGTGGCTCAAAATAGATCTCATACTTGTTTAATTTTGTATTTCTTTGAAATTGATAGTAAGGTTGAACTTTATTTCATATTTATCGGCCATTTGTATTTTCTCTTTTATGAATTGTCTGTGTGTTCTTTGCTGACTTTTTCTTTGGGGGGTTTGTCTTTTCCTTCTTGATTTGTAAAGATGGTAACGCTTGCTTTTCCCATGTATGTTGCATTATTTTTAGCTTTAAAATGTCATCAGACACACACGTTCCCTTAGAGCCTGTCCTCTCCATCCTTCTTTTTTTTTTTT